AGTCCCGACTAACCTTCAGGACTAAGACCGTTCGGGTCGGATCGAGGGTGCGATTCGTAGGAGTTCGTCGCACTGCGAGGCTCGAGCAATGAAGTAAGAGCTCGTGAATCGAGCGAAGCACGCGTCAAGGGTAAGAATGTCTTTTCTCTTTCTCTCTCTTATGTTGTTAATTGTGTGATTAAATATTGAGTTGCTTTAATTAGTGAGCGGGTCTTGGGCAAGTTTCTCTTCCGCGTAGCGTTAGACGCTACGAAACTTAACAGTTTAAAGCTTAGAATATGAGAGAGAGATTAGAATGTGTGTAGGTGCCCCGAAACTGTGAAATCAGCTTCGTATTTATAGAGGAAATAGGAGGGGTGAGGTCCGGAAACCCTAGAAATGAGTCACCGCAGAAGTAATAAACCCTAGAAATTGCCGTATCATGGCGCAAATTGCTGGAAACGGTACAATTTGCCGTGGCACGGCAAAACCTACCGTGGCGTGGCATTTCTGCCGTGGCACGGCACATCCTTTTCTGGACTTCTGTCTAAATTAATCTTTATCTTTTTATTTTACATTAAGTACGGGATAATTAGGTGTTGTTTCAGTGTTCTGGGCTTATTTTAGATTAGGGTTTTAATATTTATTAATCGGGCTTAACTAATAAATAAAATGAAATGGATTAAAATGGTTTAGGGTAGAATGAGGATTGGACAGAGTTTGAATAAATACTTGGACTGAAGATGTAGACTAATTTGTATGCTGTGTTTTATTGAAAATGGATTTTAAGCACGCCCAAGATTAAATACTTGACCCGACCAATAATGGCAGTGAAAAGTTGTTCATCATTGGGTTTGGTTTTGGGGAGACATTTTTAGGTGTCTACAGAATCCCCCACTTTGACTGAGTTTGTAGAAACGTAAGTTTCGAAAATGATAGTCGAAGTAGACGATTGGGTCGGAGAATGATTTAAGACATTCTGCGATCCTAAATCGCTCTTTGTAGGCCAATACTTGCAAAAAAGCTTTAGTTACACAGATAAAAGAGTAAAGGGATCGACTGTGTATCTGACAACAATGCATTAACAGAAAATATGTTTGGCAGCTTTCTACACGTACGCCTTAAGAAATCCACCTAATGATAGTCTTCCGCGCCTCGGGAATTCTATCGAGAACCACTGCGCCTCGAGCGATCCATTAGGTAAAAGGTTACAAGCTTCTGCGCCTCGGGAAACATGTCGTAGACTCCCGCGCCTCGAGCGGCCTACTGAATGATGATCTTCCGTGCCTCGGGAAGATTGATGTATGATAGTATCCGCACCTCGGGAATCCTATCGTAAGTTCCTACGCCTCGAGTAACTCACAAGTGAAATTCCATACTCCGGGAATAACATTAAGTGTCCGTGCCTCGGGACACAATTGCAGACCTCTACGCCTCGAGAAGTATGCAACAGCTGACCATTTGTCATGCCTAGGGAAAACGTGTCTGATGATATAAAATCACAAGTCTCTACCCCTCGAGAAACTTGCAACGTGAATCGTCCGCGCCTCGGGATGATCACTGAGTGTTTGATAAATGATAATGGTTCAATTGTCCCCGAACGTGGGCTGTAGACGTCTGATGGTTTGATTGTTCGATTATCCCCGAACAGAGGCTGATAATATGATTGTTTGATTGTCCCCGAAAAGAGGTTGTAGATATGTTTGCTCGATTGTCCTCGAACAGAGGCTGATGAAATAGTTTGTTCGATTATCCCCGGACATAGGTTGTACCTAAGATTTGCAAAATGTAATTTGCCAAAGGACTCGTATAGACGGTGATTGACTCAAGATAGAACAACTGACTCGACTAAGCTTGACTTAACATGACATGACATGTGTATGGCTTGTGACCGTGTGTGTATATGTTTAGTTTGAGTGTGTGCGCAGACACAAGCAAATGAAAATGCAAAAAATTCCGTCCTTTTTTGTCATGAATGGAGGGTACCGACTTTCACTCGAAAAAGAAAGACGTGAAAAATGAAATAAATGTTTTTGAAGTTCCCTCAATACTTTCGAAAAAGTTTTTGAACCTCCCAAAAAGAAAAAAGTTTAGAAGAGTTTTTGAACTTCCCCAAAAGAAAAATGATGAAAAATGGGAAGAAGTCTTGAGCGACCTCGTCGAGTTTGATAGAGCGAAGCGAGGTGAATCGCATGGATTTTCTTCTTGTCAGATTGAATCGCTCAGTATAAGAATAATGTATGCATGATGAATTTTCTTAAGCCAGGAGGCGAAGGATAATTACATCATGTGATGCGATCAATGAATGCACTTAGGTCAGGAAGCTAAGCCCAGTATAATCGTAGTTTATTGTCGATGTATGTTGCTTAGGTCAGGAAGCTAAGCATCATATATAGTGTACAATCCTGGACATTTCTTAGGTCTGGAAGCTAAGAACTTATACAGTGGTGATTGTTGAGTATTGCTTAGGTCAGGGAGCTAAGCACAATATGTAATGTATGAATGTTATCGTGAAGCATGAGCGGTATGGGAACAAGATTTCATGATAAAGGGTTCCTAAGGGGGAGAATGGCAATGTATATGTGAATGAAGTGTGAGAATGTGTGTGAGGAGGGTAGCCCGTCGTTGTGGATTCTTCTTCCTCTATGCCCATGGCCCTTTAAAAGCCTAGGAGTTTACACTTTTAAGGGTGTGTTAGGATTTGAATTCATGAGTGTTTGGGGGACCTTGAATTAGAATTGGTTCTATCATTACGCTTGTTTTTGTAAGAAACTAATAAGGAGTCACCAATGAGTTTTAGGAAAACTCATATACCTCGTTTATGCCTTTCTCCCAAGTAGAGTTCAAGGGATATTTAGCATGAATCATAAGTTTACCCATGCCCAAATTGGTCTACTTGTACCAGAAATGAGTTTGGGAGCGAGGGTACTAAAATAACATTCCCTTTTGGGGGGAATCGCTATCCTAGCCCAAGTACAGCCTCTACTAGCTCTTCCTTTTTCACAATTTCATCACCAAATAATATATACAACGTGATACCTAAAACTAAGTTAGTTGATTTTACTTACATGATATTTTAATTTTCGCAATTAAATAAAATATTATTGAACTACTCACTAGCTTATCGAGCCGGGTTCCGGATTAGACCAAGCATTGACCGAGTCAAACTTAAATTACCAACTCAATTAAAACCCACATATATATATATATATACTACCTCCATTAACAGTTATTTGCAACGATTTGACATAAAGTTAACTGTTAACGGAGGTAGTATATATATATATATATATATATATATATATATATATATATATATATATATATAGTGATTAGGTAATATCCAACCACATTCTTGGTAATTACAAACAAAACTGTTTTTTTTTTTTTTTTTTAAGAAAGTTGTTATTATTATTAGTGTTTTAATTTTTATTGTTATTGTTATTATTTTTTTTTCTAACATTGTCATTACCATCCAAAATTGATTATCAAAACTTTTGGGATAACTAATCAAATTAAATTTAAATTATTTATCAAAATTTTATACATTTTTTTTGTTTAGATAATGGTTATGTAATAAGAATGTAAATATATGTTAATACTTTACTCTAGAATTGTAATTAATGACTAACATTAATGATACTTTAAAATTTTTGTAAAACAACTAATATTATCACTAGAGATGTTTCGAGTTGAGCAACTCAAGGTCGACTTGGACAATGCTTGGTTAAAACTCGACTTGAGTTGTCTCGACTCAAAATGTTAACCTTAACGAGCATGAGATGAGCAATACTAATACCAATATTTTATACTCCATCACCGGCCAGCCAACCCCTCCCCACACCTTAGCCGCCCAGAATTCTCCCTAGATCGCCGGCGACACACCCCCTCTCTTCCCTTGGCTGATTTCGTGGGGTTTTGGGTTAAAGGAAGGGTTTGGCCGGCAGGTTAGACATTGGGTCTCGTGGGCGAAGTCGGCGGTTTCGCGGTAAGGGGAAAGGGAGAGGGATGAGTCGCCGACAGTGGTGGGGCTGGGTCGCCGGCGATGGTGGGGCTGATTTCGTGGGGTTTCGAGTTAGAGATGGGGTTTGGATTGAGGCGTCGCCAGCGATTTCGCGGTAAGGGGCAAGGGAGTCTTGGGTTGCCGAAAGTTTAGAATGCTTGGTTGGTGGTCGCCGGCAGGTTAGAACGCTACATGTGTGGTCGCCGGCAGTCAGGGGCGGTGGTCGAAAGTCTCCGGCAGCTAGAGGCGGTAGTCGGTGGTTGTGGTTCCAATTTCCTTAAATATTCAATATTGATTCATAGAACATTTTTAGCAATTTAGAAAATCAATTAAATGAATTTTGGCAAAAAAAAAAATATAGAGGGACCACATTATTTTTTGTGGCCTAGAGAATGCCATGTGCTTAGGCTTACGGTGATCAAAAACTATTTGATCACCGTAAAACTCCCCTACAAATTGATGGTTTTTGAGATAGACAAACTATAAAGACAGGATTTGCATGGGGTTTTAAGGATCAACGAAACCCACAGTAGCGCAGAGGATATCCTATAAAAAGACTAGCACTCCATGAGATGCGCCTGCTCGCAAGCCTAACACCGGGTAAGTGAGCAGCATCTATCCAAGGTTGTGAATTAACAAGGTAATAAAGCAGTAGAATTTGAGATTTTCAAGACAACTGGGAAAATCATGCAGATTGCAAAATCCTTTAAACTGGATTGAATTCAAGTCCATGATTCGTATACTATACACAAATGATTTTAGGCTAGGTTTCTTTACTGAGCGCTAATCTTGACTCTTCTTCCCAAAAAAAAAAAAAAAGCTAAGTTTCAATAAAGAAATTTCATAACTTCTATCCTGAGAACGAAGAGATACAATCAATCTATAAAGTCAATGTTTAACCAAAGTTGCTAAGTGGACATAAATACTGGTATATGGGAGCAGGATTAACTTTGGTGGCTCAACAAGGTCATCCATCTTTATTTGCTACTATCATAAAACATCTTTTGACACCGTCAAGCATTGCAAGATGACGCGAGTGCATCACACTGACTGAATCACAACTTTACGACTAGTCTCTTACAATAAAGGGCAAGTAGGCTTTGAATCTTTATTCAATAGTCAGTCATATCTTTATTCGGTACAGGAGTGTTAACAACTCTACATACATGCATTAGTGGCTTTCATCCCAGCATAGTTTGTCAAAGTGCAAAATAGAATAAGTAACTACATTGCCAGAAACAAGCCTAGTAGTCATTATACCTGATTTTCAAGCATCAAATACTCCGTCAGACTTGTGGCTGAATTCAATCAGCAAAGTACGAATTTCCATTGGACCGAGTTCTACAATCAGCTCTGCAGAATCGATTGGTCCTCCCCTAGTCACTTTGGATGCCTGAGCAGAAGAACCTTGAGACTTCCACACCAGTCTCTTCTTCTCCATTTCTTCACGCTCTTGATTTGCCGAAAGGTTTGTCTCCATTACTTTGCCAATCTGAAACAATTAACAGAAGAAGACAAAATTTCTGATTGCCTATATAGATGGGGAAAAGCCAGACAGCCAACTGTAAGGACATTGCATCTACCTTCTTCAATGGGAAAAGTCTTTTCAATTCGACATTTGCTTTGCTTGAAAGATCCTTGTCTTCTCCAACCTTAATTTCAGTCAGGCAAGGAAATTAGGATGGCAAAAGTACAATGATTCCTATAGACCAAGGAAGCACTGAGCAATACCCAGAGTTTATTTGCAAACACATATCATGAAATAGCACTTTTGTACATAATAATGCCCTTACCTCAACATATGTGCAACATACCAACAAGTAGATAGTACTATTAGATGGTTTAATAATATTATTACCATTCAATGCTCTAAAGATACATATATTTCTCTTGGTACTAGTTTAAAAAAAAAAAAAAAAAAACTATAGATATTATCAACTAAAATATATGAGAAATCTTTTTAAAATCAGATAATTATTATTCGCGGAAAAAATCTATTACACTTAATTATAATTGAATAGTGAGTTAAAAATCTATTCACGGAAAAAATCAGAAACCTAAAATGTCAATTTTATCCTTAGTCAGAGTTTTAAGTTTATATACTTATTTAAATAACTAAATATATTACTAATATAAGTAATTTTAAAACAATTTTTAAGGACTGGTAAAAGTGCAAGGGAAGGTGTCACCCTAAAATGTCAATCATATCCTTAGTCTATGTTACTTCTACCCTTGTTGTACATGGGGTCTCGCTTGTCGGATCATCCGACACTTTGACGCGGCATGACACCCAAATAGATAATGGATAGTTAGATACCTAAGTAACGATAGTGACATGCCTACTGAATAGTTGGCTAAGCTCTTCCTTTCAATACAATACAATTGTCCAATTAACATTCATTTGCAGTCAGCCTACTCAATAGTTGGCTAAACTCTAAAAGCCTTTATTGGAGAAAGTTAGAAAATCATAACCCCTCTGTTCCAAAATAAATGCATCAGTTGATTTTTTACCATTTTAACATGTATCACTTTCACCATAATTTTTTACTCATTTATAAAACCAAATGTTGTATGATTTTTTTAAATTCATCTTTATGTATATTTTCAACATATCAATTTTTCATAATTTTCACTATTAAATACTTAGAGATATCGAAGGTTAAACTTGTGCATTGACAAATGTGGCAGTCAAATTGATGTATTTATTTTGGAATGGATGGAGTATTTTAGAATAAACATCAAGAAAAAAAAAAGCTAATAACATACCTCATATAGATGTGCTAATCGCAGCAGGATTTTTCCATCATCAAGCTCCTGTTCATTTCAAAAGGAATAAAAGAATTGAAATTGCCAAAATAACTAGTAAGCTAGTTCAAGCCTCTGAGGTTATTAATAAGTGTGAAATGTGTGATAGAGAATGGCCAACATTGCAAGACTTATCATGATATGATATGTCTATTACCTGAAGAGTTATCATAGCAACATTTTCAGGTAAACTATAATAAGAATCCATTCCCGAAAATGTGGGTATGTGAGAACTTAACCAGTTATCATCATCCTGCACAGAAGACAATTATAATGATAAGAATTACATATTGTTATTACTCATAGTAGTTACTAAAAGCTCCAATTTCTCTGACCTGCTCACTGAAGGCCAAGAGAAGTGGAGAGTACAGCTTCTGTCCAAACGAACGTCTCCATTTAGCACCCTCTCCTAAACGGTCAATTTTGAAATAAAATTTTCCTTGGGCCTGAAAAATGATGCAGCGCTTATAGTCAATCAATCAATCAAAGCCTTAATCCCATAAGTGAGGTCGGCTACATGAACCAAAAGTGATTATTCCATGTAGTCATCCGAAAAAATCTTCCTCCTCCATCCCTTAAGATCATATACCTCATTCTCATGCAAATCCATATGCTTCATATCCTTCCTAACTCCTTCCTACCAAGTCATTTTCAGTCTCCCTCTACCTCGTTTAATCTCTCCATGATCCCATTGTTCCACTCTTCAATGAACATGTTGAAACTTCAGAAACATGTTGAAACTTCCAACCAAGTCATGCGCTTATAGTAAACATGTTGAACTTAAATGCAAATATTATTTTTATTTTCCTAAACTATGTAAAGGGTTACATTTGAAAGTGAACAGGCAGTTGCAAGTCTATAACTTTAGTTGAAACTTCTTCTGTTAAGCATTGAGGCCAATTGCATTGCCTTACCTTAGGTTCCTCTACTAAAATTCCTGATTCACTGAAACCGAGAGTCATATAGGATATGAAAATTCAGGTATCCATTTACTCCACCTAGGCCTAAAACCCATAAGATCCATTGCTCTATCAAGTAAACCCAACTAAGCCTATTGTAGGCCTTCTTACTATCCAGCTTAAAGATACCACTTTAAAAACTAACAAAGTAACAAGTCATTGGCCACTTTGCCTAAAATATGTCTATACTTAACAAAAGCACTTTGGAGGCTAGACCACCATGATTTTTTATGGAAGAAAACCAGTAACCCCATTTTTTGAAAAACAGAAATATCACTTGGCCATAAATGTATGCAATCTAATAAGAAGAGACTCTTTGGCCTTAAGTCTTTAACCTTTATACACTATAAAAGATCGATTTCATACTCTATCGAAGACCTAATATACATGTTGAAAATAAATGATAACAAACTCTCACATGCACACACATCTTAATACACCTAAATAAAGTCATTCACCACATTCAAGCACCCTGCACTCCTATAACAAGGGTAAAGTAATTCCATCAGTACATGGGGTTACCACATTTCATACAAAAAAGCGCATAATTTGAACTTTAAAAGGCTTCTCTATTTAATAAATACAAAGGCCCTCAAAGAAAGACATGATTTCTTCAATGTTAATTTCCAGATCCCTAAGGCACCCCTGTAGTAAAAAGTTAAAAACCCATGCAAAGCTAGATTTGATTGTATTAGTAATCCAATGAGGAAAAAAAGAGAGGGGGGGAGGGGGCATTATACTTCCTTACTCTACTGGAAAACTTTCAGAATCCAGCAATAACAACTTAAAACCATGGCCCTAATTACATTGATCAGCAGTGAGCTCTCTTCATCAAATTCAGGCGTATAAGATTTTTGTCATATTTGCCTGGAAACTGTGTTGAACATAATGCTCTACGAACGAAATGTATTCTTAAAGGCTAAAACTTGGAAGCAAGAAAAAGTTACAGAAAAGGTGTAAGTTCACGACAATACCTAGGGTATACATTCAATTTTATGGGATGGATTACTCACAATTAAGCCCATGCACTTGTCTTGAGCACAAACTGTTTCATTTAGGGCCTCTGCAACACCTCTACCGTCATCTTTGAGCAAGCGCCTACAAAAGAACAAAAATGTATAATAACATGCATAGTAAAATCGAAAAACTTGGGAACTCTAATCATAAATCAGTAGTTTTATACCTGTGAAGCATAAGCTCTATTTGACCGTCCAATATGCTAGACCCTCCAACAGATCTATCCACCAACACGGAGAACTCATTGATATCATCATGCAAATATATTCCAAGATTAATCTGATAGAAGCATCAGAAGCAATAGTGTGAATTCAAAAATATATGATAGAAGCTAATCATGCAACCAGGCTACATATCATTACACATATTCCATATTGTTACCCACCTTTTTATAAAGTAAATATGATGATATTTAATTTAACCAAGCCTAACATTTTAAGTAGCAAAAGCTTTAGAAAGATACCCTATATGGGGAAACATTATATTGGGTTAAGATTGAGCTTAGAGTAAAGAGATTAAGAGGAAAATGTACAATGTAAGAAATAAGTGGGTGGGTGTGGGTCCTAAGGAAGGACAAAAAAGTAGAGAAAAAAAAGTATATAGGAGTAGAATGTCAACTTTGAGTAGGGAGTAGTTGGGACATCCTGTTTTGGCGTATATTGTTAAGCCTGAACTGGAACAGAGATAGTATTTTTATTTTTTTACAGCAAAATAAAGGATATATCTTTTATCCCCTTTCGTTTGCCCCAATGGTGCAAACAAGAGGACAAAGGGAGTAAAAGTTGCTGTAGTAACAAAAATGAACGCTACAATATGGTTGCAATTACGATAACGGTTGCAAAACCACTTTACAGGCCCTGTGCACAGTTTGTGGCTTTCATGGCCTATAAATAAAGTCATAGATAACCCAAAACCTTCACAATGTGGTCAATAATCAATACCCTGAATAGCCCTCAGGTTCCACATATGCACTACTCCCATTGGTACAACTCTTGTAAATAAAGAAAAGGAATGGGTATTTGATACATAACCAAAACAGAAGGTTGAATCATCACTCTTGTCAGCAGAATGAGAATTAATCAAACACAGATTACAGTGATGTTTAATTAAGAACGTACAGGATAATAGTTTCCAGCAACTGGTTGATTTACTTGCAGATTCCAGTCTGATCTATAATCACGAATCTGTAAAACAATGAAGTGATTACTATACCGCATAAGTATTCTAAGGAAAAATGTTTTTGTACAAAGTGGCTTGTTACTACAGACTGTACAAAAGTAAATTTGTACCCTTTCAATAAAATCACGCCCATTTGAATCAGTGTAGAATGTATTATTTGAATGCATGCCTGTAGACAATTTAGCCACAACTTCTTTTCCAAACCCATCTTCAACAGGTATAGGTCCAACCTGACTCACAGGGAATTGACAAAATAATATGAGCTATATTGATGAAGTGAAACGTAAGAAGCCTTGATCTGTTAGATTTATTCAAACAATGGGTAAGTAGATTGGAGTAGAATTTGTATAAGCTTCTACTAGCCATCCAGAAAATCCAATAATAAAGCAGCTGTTGTTTAAGCTTACCGTGTATTCAACTTCAACATACTCCTTATTCTTGTAAACTCTTGTGATCTAAAGACAAATTTCAGAGAGCAGCTAATTAGCATAGCAGAGGAGGATTTAGAAGGGACGCAGGGGGTGGGGGGTGGGGGGGGAATATCTAATAAAATGTAGCAGCGTATGACATGATTCCACAAGAGCTTCAAGTGACAATAGTTTTGCCATTCAAAGGATTGATCAAGAGAAACAAGTAAAATAGTACCCCCAAAGGAGAAATGACTAACTAACTCTGTGTACAGTTATGTTCCCCTTAACTTATAATGTTAACCAAAATCACATATATAACAAGGAAAAAAATTAAAAAATTAAAAATTAAAAAAAAAAAAAAAAAAAAAAAAAAAACAATGCACCTAAAAATGGGGGTAATGGGCCTTCTGTTATGATTATACCACAATTGCACCAGAAAACTCAGAGGATTTTCCAAAGTTGAAGGCCAGAAGATGAGATTCATTAAAGGTTAATGACATATGGTCAAAAAGTTGGGAATTGGATTTGTCTCAATTCAATCATCAACAAATAAGAACAATAGATGCATAATATGAAAAAATGTGCAAGGAATTGAGAAAGAAGTATAAGCTAGTATTGATAGATCAGTCATCAGTTGTGTAACCTAATCTATAACAAACTACCACAATTCAAGTGGAATATCCTCCAAGATACAGCCAAGCTATTACAATAATTTTCTCAATGCTCTCTCTCAACAAAAGTGACACCATACTGGTGATTTCCCTCTCCCTTCCAATAACCTCATAGCTAATTACCTTACTACCGTTTTTCCTAGGGTGATGTCATTTAGCATGCTATTATTTTTTTTCTTCCTTCTTTCATAAGTGAGTAGCACAGATTGCTGGACTTGATTATTTGCACAAAGACAGATACTTACCACTTATTACGACATGGTGAGCCACATATTCAGATTAGGGGCAGAGGGGAACATAGGGAAAACAGAGAATAGGGTAGAAGTAAGTAAACAGATAAGGAGAAACAAAGAAGAAAAGTTCAAACAAGAGCCAGGACAGAGAGTAGGGGATGGAAATTATTATATAATAATCTCAATGTACAACGCCAATATGAGTGTATAATATAGTCAAGTACAAGAGCAATCTGTATAATATGAAAACATAAACAAAATTGTGCACTTGGAAACGGAAATCAATCACTTTGGGCCTGTGTTAAAATGCAACAGCTTGTATAGTAATGTGCTTACAAAGGACCTTCTTAGCAACTTTAAGTTTGTAGCCTATTTTTGTTTAACATTAAAGCAACTTTGAGCTCAATCTTCTACTGCCAATACTCCAGATGACAATTCATGCAAGGAAAGAAATTTAGATAATCTGTAAATTATACCCCATTAAGTGTCAACAACTGGAAAATTGGTTGATAAGGCCTTCATCAACTAATTGGGATGGTGCAGGGGTATATAACTATATACCAAAGTTGAAATTAGGACTATCCAGGGATAGAGGAAGTATTAAGTTTTTCTCCTTCACTACATTTACTTCTTAATCTTATAAAGGAACTCAATGTATGGTTATAACTTACAAAAAAAAAAAACAACTGAGGGCTGTAGCAACAAGTTTATGCAAACTGAATGATTTCTGATACTGGCAAGTCACAAATGTGGCAGAACAATTTCCTATTCACTTGTGTCACATTTAATTTCTGTCACACTCAAGAGCTGCCAAGGCTCACATTGGTTTCAATAGAGACAGAATATAGAATACTACAATTCAAAGCACCTGAGATATCCATGAATTAATCTGTTGATGAACTTCGTCTATTAAAGGACCACGCATAACAGTTGATCCAATCTGCAAGTTGACAAGCAGAGATTTAGAGTTTTTTTTAATGTGAGTAAATGAAAATCATGCAAGAAGCATTCAGAACCTTTCCCTTAGATTGCATCACATATGTGCCATTTGGACGGAACACATAAGCCCCGGAAGCCTGCAATGGTAAGCATGGATGACATATTACATTTGAACAAGTATAATCCACAAGTTACTCCAATAGTCCAATTACAACTAAATGGGAGAAAGCCGCAGGGCTTACCTGAGTATCTTTGTCAGTTCCGTTGTATCCTGGATAAAAACCATAGGACACTTCCACAGACTTCTTGCCCTAGAAATGAAAGATGAAGGATTTCAGAATTTAACCAGGAAATATAACACATAAGCCAACAGAAAATGGCTAAAAATGGGAGGACATGAAATGAACTTGAATGGTAAGTGTAGATGAAATTCAAATTAGGCATAAAGAGACAAGACAACATAAAGATGTATGAACCATATATAACAAGACTAACAGCAGAGTATAATCTAACCAAAAAAAAAAAGAAAATTACAGTAAAATATTTTTAGTAAAATGAAATTTATTCAGAAGCATATGCATACACAACACATAAGGCACAGCGAAAATACTCAACTTACCAAGCTTTTCTGTTTATTATGATACGTCAATTTTCCATTCTCTTCAGAGAGAGTAAATTTCAAAGTTTCCAAACCAATATCAAATTTCATATCCCCTTGAGAAGTGTAAACATATGATTTTGTCAGCTTAACACCTGCATTCAAGAGTTCACACCATAGGGGGAAAAAAAAAACAATATATATTAGATTACCCGTGCACAATTGTGAAGTTGTGACACACTTGTTCAGAATAAGTATAAAGAAGCTATTCATGCCTTTAACACCAGTAACAGTGTAAGTGCTGAAACCAAGAGGTGGTACAGAAGCTGCAAATGCGAGCCAATACTTAGGTGCATCTCCTACAGTGATCCCCAAGTATGCTGCCACATGGAAGTTACTTATGCCCAATTGCACATCAGAAATGGGAAAAATTTGTGACTCTATCTCTCTTCCTTCAGAATCACGAACTACAACATCTTCATTCTTGACCTACACCAGGTGTTACCTTCTTAAATGAAACAAGTCAACCAAAAAATAAATCCAGACTAGAACAGACAAAACTTTATGTGTTGTAGCAAAAAATGTAACGATAAATCATTTCAATTGTTTGTAAACTCAAAATCAGTTTTAAAATCCAAGTTGCTTCAGCATCCATAAAGCAGATGAATTCCAAGATGTTAAGATTGTTAACAATAAAGGTAAGAACGTAAGATGAGTACCACAAGGTTAAAACCATACAGTCAAGAATTCAAGATTCAAGAGTTGATGCTAAAAAGTCAATTAAGGTGCAACTTACAGGAATACGAATAATATCTTCTCTCTTCCATGAGTACCACAAGGTTAAAACCATACAGTCAAGAATTCAAGATTCAAGAGTTGATGCTAAAAAGTCAATTAAGGTGCAACTTACAGGTATACGAATAATATCTTCTCTCTTCCATCCAAGAGGATTATAGACTACCACAATCTTGCAAATTGACAAAGTGTAAAGATGATATTGATCAGATCAAATGAAACAGTACATTATGATTAAATAAACAGATATTATGCATATGAAATGACGTCTTCTAGTACCAGTTTTTTTCCATGAGAGAGATTAGTTTCTGATGCAGGACAGTAACTTATATTCATCAGGGGACACTGCAAAGAAGTATAAAAGGTCAGCTATATGTACAATAATGTCGCACATAGTTAAGAGTGGGAAGGGATATATATTTAAAAAAAAAAAAAAAATGCGAAGTAATATCTTTTACTGGATTCACTTTCCCAGGCTATGCTTGGTTTTAGACATGATTTTAGAACTTGCAATGTCGGTTTTATCATGTATTTCCTATATATAAATATTCACTTATGTGTAACATATTAAAGAAAGTGGAAGGAATGAGAAAAAATAGCATCTTTTACCGAATTCAGTTTCCTTAGCTATGATATATTTTAGACATGATCTTAAAATTTGCAGTGTTAATTATGAGCATTTCCTAGCTTCTTTCAAATCTAAATTTCCACTCATGTCTCCCTATCTAAGAATGGTGAAAGGAGAAAATTTATTATCTTTTAAATGGTTAACTACCCTAAGCTAGCTATGTTAAAGACATGATCTTAGAAACTGTAGTGTTAGTTTTGAGTTGTGCCCAGCTTCTTCAAATATTACAGGTCCTGCCTTTTTATTTACAAATGATACTGATTCTGTTTATGATGAAAAAGACTCCTTCCCTCCTATGCATTGTGTGCATCTTAAACAAAAACAGAAAGTAGACCCAGAATTCTCCACAGCTTATACTTTTCTATAGACTCAGTTGAACGCTGATGCCTGAGATGTTTTCCCTAATTGACTTATCTGTGCACAGGCTAGGTCCAGACTTAGTAGGATAACTAGTTAATTACACCTTGGTGAAGTAGCCAGCTTGCCACTTCCCCATAGATCATTATGACCAAGATTCAATAGATTACAAGGAATCCACAACTTGTAAAACATTAATTCTGTTTTGAGGCTGTAATAGATATAGGCGACAAAACAATATTTAAATATAGGCAGACAGGAAAGGGTTTCATATGAGTTGCCTGCTGAAACTTAGTCGTTGGGTTCTGACAACCAGTAGCAGGGGAAGATTGAGTCAAGCATCCAATTGATGATGCAACCACTTTCTCAGCCTACAGACAAAGAGAAACACATGCATGAAGCTGGAAGTCCAACAGAACCAAGAACACAGAAAAGTGGTTGCAGGATAATACGCACCTCTTGATAACCAATTGAAAGTCTTTTTGCATAATCATTAGCTACATGCTGCTTTTCAGTACCAGTAACAGCATCATGGTGTTGAGCTATAGCTAAAGCATCTGCTAATGCATCATTATTTGGACCTGATTTACTCCTTCCTATAAAATATTCCAGTTGTCTTGCAGCCTGAAATTAGATTAACTATCGTTTTTTAAGTTAATTTAATTAGGTTAGAAGTCTAAATCTTCAAGCATCAGAAAAGTAAAAGACTGAACTATACCATATAGTAGCCACTCATCTCCCTAACATAACGCTTCAAAGTTGGTCTGCTAGTAAAGTATCCAGTCCAGTATGCATTAATTCTATCTGCATATCTGTGCAGAGAAAAGATAATAATAATTACCACGTGGGAAAACAATACTCTAGACATGATTATAAAAGAATCATGAAATTTTGAGTATTGCCATTTTTGTTGAAGGATTTGATGCGATTACGAAAAGATAGTTGAATAACTAAAATATAGAAGAAAGTAATAGGAACATCCGCCGACAAAAGGATCACCCTACGATGATCATTTCATGGCTATTGAGAAGATTTTCTGAATTCTGATGTTCTACTTACGGGAAGAAGTCAGCAGTTTTTGTTGGCCAGGATTCTTGAGCTGCATATTTTGCATCAGTATACATTGATGCGGTTGAGTAAAGTGCATTGACACGTCCATCCTGGAACCAGTTCATAAAATCAGTGAACCAAGCCATGCTGGTCACTTGCATCATTACTCAAATATGGATCTCTAAATGACAAGAGAGGGATAACAAGCTGGGTATAATAACATCCAAACAATTATTTGTACAGGAGAACAGTAAGGAGAAGAAAAGTTAGCAAGTATAGAATCAATCACTAATGAAATGCATATTATAACCAGTGGTCAGCCACACTAAGAAAGGACTGATATTAAGGATCTGCATAAGCAGTGAATAAAGATTAAAGAATCATCAACATCAATGACCTTACCAAATTAACATAATGAATCAGCTTGTCCATCTGCCGGAACCATGTATGAGCATATTGGTACTTGAAATCTGTTCCCATGGTCCACATAATATGATTTGTTCGAGTAACATTTGCCTGAAATATGGCAGATATTAACACCAACAACAAATCAAACTGGATATCAGATTTTTATGTAAAATACATTATACATCAAAGTATTGATTAGTCTTATTTCTTTATCTATTTCACTTTTCTATGGGGGAGGGGGTGTTGTGTGAACCAACAACCAACAGGACATTTAATGACAAAGGAATCTGCCACTAATAAAACCTGAGATGTCAGGATGCACACAAAAAAACAGCCCAAGAGCCTAACCCTTGCCAAGAATCGATAGGGAAGTTTGATGAAAAAGTAGAAAAACGGTTTTTAAAAACGATACTAGAAGACACACAAGTAGCGCATAACACTATTTATATTAAAATAAAAGGGAATTCTTTTAAAATAACCAAGTTTGAAAAATATGCCTATCAAAATCAGAATGATTTTACAGGGTAGAATAGACATACAATTGCATGTTGAAAATAAACAAAAACCACAATGTATATAGACAATAGAGTCAAAGTAACTTAAATCAGCAAAATTTCTCCTACATGTTTGAAAAATCATCTTGTTAGTGCTAAGTTGATCCGTGCAAATATTTCAGCTATGTTCACCAGAGTTGAAACAGCATGGAACTTGAGCTTATCTGACCTAAACCTAACATCTAAATCGGATTCAAACAAAGAAAAAGCAACTATCCAGGCAAAAAGAGCTATCTTTAAAACATGTATAGAGACAACATATTAAATGTGATCAGATTTTTAAGTGTGATTGAGGAAGCCTGGTGCATGCTAGGAATTAATTCAAAGCAATTAATCAGATAATACAATAGCCCCAATGATAGATTGTATTGATGATCAGAGTAATCTCAATACAGCTCCCTTCTTTCGAGAGGAAGGAATACTCTCCCTATGCTTTTACTTGCAACTTTTCTGGATGCCCTTCTCTCATTACAACTCATCTATTTATTACAAAATTCCCTCATAACAAACTAACAAACTCAGATAACAAGAAATAACAAACTATCTCTAAATTACTTAATTGCCATCCAATTTTTTTGCAAAAATCAACTTTGAATTCTATTTCTACTAAATATTTTGTATCATACACCTTTTCCAGCTATGCAGTAAACTATGAGACAAAACGCCAAGTATTTAGTAGTATAATTTCCAAGAAGAAAATCAGGTTTGATTCCCAATGCACAGTGTGTTTCAGTATGCATTTTTAAGCTTCAATAGCATCAATACTGAAGTAGTAGATGCATCATTCATTTAGACATAGACCAAGATTAAGTAAAGGCATCAACATTTACCTGTGATAATGCAGCAGCAACAAAGGCATTCACTCGATCTTGAACGTTGTAGTCAAACAAGGTAGGGTCATCCTTTACAAGAGGAAAAGGTTCAAATACTTCCACATGAGTTGGCCTTAAATACTTTGAGTTACATAAGAGATAAGAGGTTACCTGGACAACTGGAGAATCATCATTAACTTCAAAATGAAAACCATCTGGAGGTTCATAGTTGCCTTGCCAAAAGGCACCAGTAAAGATCTAAAAGACAGGACAAGATCAGCCGCTCAGCACACACATAAAAGCATATATTGAGTATACTAAAAGAAAAAATAAATTAAAGAAAGAATGATATTTGCCTGAGCAGTCGCCCCAAGACTCTTAGAGCCCTGCCAGACAACTTCAAGGCTCTTCTCAGCCATACGCTTCTCCCTGTCTTGGTAGTCTATTCTTGCAAAAAATAATGAATCAAATCCAACCTGCAGCATTGCAGAAGTGAATAAACATTCAATATTATGTGGTAAATAAAAATTTCTAACTCTAACCTAAAAATTTCACATAAAATTAAGCAGTGCATAATGAAAAGTAGTAAAGCTACAAGAATAACCAGACTTACCTCTGCTCCCAACAAATAAGCTTGTACAGCTGAATGTCCAAAGGGATCAATTTGCCAACCAACTCTCGGTATCACCCCAAATTCATTCTTAAGAAATTGGTGTCCAAGTGTTGTTTGATCAATCATGTCAATGTAGTGTGTCGCTGCCTCATCATGCATGACCATGCCCCCATTTCTGTAGGAAGTTAGGGAAAACCATGAAAAAAATCAACAGCATATATCTAATGGACATGTTATTAGTTCATTAATAAGGTCATCATGTCTGATTCCATTTCAAGTAACTTACAGCTACACTTACGTTTGCTTTAACATAGCTAAGTTTCCTCGACAAATAGTTCCCACAAATAAAACGTTAAAATACGGAGTATATGTCTCTGCTGAAAAGGTTGTTAGGAAATAGACGAGGGTCGATATATTTAGGTAATGTGTTTGATATGCGCTGAACATAGACAACAATATAAAAACAAGTACATTTGAGAAATAAAGTAGAAAATAGATGAGATGAACGCACAAATAAACGTGGTTCAGTCAACATGACCTACGTCCACAAGGTAAGGGATAGGGTAAACAAGAGATATAATTGGGCATATAACCTATCGTTGGAAAGCTCTTGAAACACGCTATCACCTCCAACATAAATCACCTCAAGATCACTTCTAGAATGAGAGATATGTGCATTTGAAGTCGGCCCTTCACCATTTCACTAGATTGCAAGTCACAAATAAGAGACAGTTAATCATCTACTTCAAACCACTAAATTTTATTCACTTGCTAGCTGCAGAGGGTAGGGCTACCAAAGAAGGGACGTTTTCAGATACTCATGACGATTAAAGTGATCTTATTTGTTCTTTTTTCTATTTCGAATGGAGGAACGGTCTGGCGAAGACCCATACATAAGGAATATGCCATGAACTTAATTTGAATTAGATTACGAAACTTAGGCACTAATGTGACTTTTATAAAATAAACCTAAAGTACAAGCTGAGCACTATAGATGTTATTTTCTTGAAAAATTCTTTACAATAATCCAGAATTTCTAAGAAAAACATATAATGAATCAAGTATTACGATTAGCTCAACAATTCTAAGACTCTTAATTAAATTCCTGACAAGACCAACCCCTTTTTCTACAAGTTCACAAAATCGTGTAGGATCACAAAGGTTGTCAAATTTTCATTATAAGTTCAAATGAATCAAATGAAATTTATTCTCTTGGCTACGAAAAATCGATAGACCATTTCTACAAAAAGGCTAATTATTCCAGCGATGTATGCAAGAAATGTACCACAATGCAAGATCTATTCAACAATCATGGCTTCAATTAGGAAACCTTTATTTGATTTGTTTTTCAATATATTAAATTTAGATTTCATTTGTAGATGTCATATGGCTTTTATTGATAAATTGGTTATTTAAAAATAAAAATAAAAAAATTACACTATTGCATTAGAAACTATGTAGATTTTAAATAGCGCTATAATTTATAATTAAGGAGTTTACAATTTGAAAATAAATGTCTAAAATTTTAATAAGCTTTTACCAGCATATTTTAAGAAATATATAATGTATACTTAGATAATTGAATAGAAAATACCAATTCATACATCACACCATTTACATGAGATAAAAACTAATTTCAATAAAGCAACAACAAATTTTAGCAATCAATATTTGGCCATATTATTTTTTTAAAACTTGCAAAATGCCACAATATGGATTGATGTCAAGATCACAGCCTTACAGACATGGCACAAAATTTGTTGTGTGAGATTTGGTAAGCACATAATTATTTTTCAAACAGAAAGTTCAAAGTACAAGGACAGCATAAAAAAAATCATTTAAATAAAATTTATGTTCTTTCAAAAATGAGATGATTGTGTGAGATTTGTTTAAGTTGAACACATCACAAAGCATTGATGAATGAGTTTGAAAAGGGTACAGTTTAATACAGTACTATTCTTAAAATCAGTTTAAAAAAATTAAGAATATGCTGTCTCCATAGTCTTTATCTTCATGCTAAAGGGCGAGGGTATCTCAAAATTCCAATAACAAGAATATAATCTCTCTTATTCTCTTAAGAATATACTGGATTCAGTGATTCATTTTACTCCCATAGCGTGATTTGGAAATGATTTATCCTCAACACAACAAATCCTCAAACTAATTAAAAGCTAAACTCTAAGCATAATCAAGCATTTGTGCATCTAAGTTGCAAAATTCATCAAATGCTAAAAGTATAGTATAATTACATGAATTCTAATTGACCAGATTTGACCAAACCCTTGACAATGTCTTGCATTCCCTCGCTCTGCTCTCTCCACCACCGCTCGAAAAACGCCTAAATTACAACAACACAAATCACTTCCATGATCAAAACAACACACATTTCTCATAAATCTTTTCAACAGAACAAAAATTTCGAAAACTCGCCTGCTCAACATATATGAACTTCCTATTCTTATCAGCCAATAACGCCGGAATCAACGAGTCCAGAATATTCTGGACACATGCTCCCTGCACATTGTACCAAATTTCTCACAATAATCATTCATAATAATCAATAATTAATCCACACATAATTTCTCACAAAATTCAATAATCAACATATCATCAATCAAATAAATTAAACCTGAATAGAATTATTCGAGCCAACGTAGTATTGGTCAACAGTTTTCAACCAACCAGCATCGTCATGAGTGTGAGCAACTAAATGAACATTGAGTTTTTCCGGCACTATTTTCGCCGTCGTATTATACACCATGAACTTCGATTCTGCTACGATACTTGATAAAACTAGCACGACGGCCATCAACATGGCTGCCGCCATTAATGGAGGTTTTGAGAACTCCGCCATTGTTGAAACCTCCGGTAAGAAGAAGGTGAATGATTGTTATCTGAAAAATAGGATTTTGAAAAGGATGATTATTAAGGTTGTACACTTGTACGCGACGTTTTGGGAAGTGGAAGAGTGAAGTGACGTCGTTTTCATGAGAATGGTAGGAAGAAGGACCACGTGGGGACGACATGCTAAGCGTGCAGATTTATTTTTCTACAAAGTGGACAGTGTTGAAATTGACATGTCAGGATTTTTTTAATTGTCTTTAAGGTTTTTTGGTGTTATGACTAATTTATTGAAGGATAAGGTTTAATCGAGTATCATTTCAACAAAAAAAAAATTAAAAAAAAAAAAACATTCAAATAACGTATAACTTGATAAAGATAATAATGTAATTATCCATCTATTATTGTATTTGCACAGTCATACTTGTATTAAAAAATATTGTAGGATGTCATTAATTATCTAATGTTTCATGCTCCTATAATCTTATTAAGGAGGGTCCAATCTTTAGTGTGTTCAATTAATCAATTATTGCTTAGTACGTATTTGTTGACAAAGTTACATTAAAAAATTTAGAATTATGCTTTCTTTGTTTTCATAAAATTTCAATAATTTAGACATCACAAATTATTAGGTGCGGCAATCCGCACCTAATGTTTCTTGCGGCGAGATACCATATCATCGATGATATGGCAGCTAAAGCATCAACCAACAATGACTACGATGACGATGATGACGACGTTGACAATGACGAAGATGAAGCTCAAAACCCCTCAAAAAATTTGAGAATTGAATCGAAATAGGAGCGTTGAACAATTAAAGAGTATGTGATTTGGGGTTGATTTCTGCGATATGCGGCTGCGTGAGGGCCAAATTGGTGTTGGAGTAGGTGGCTGCTGCGAGGTGGCTACAGGTGGAGAAGTTGGTGATGTGGTGAGATTGGTGGTGGTGGTTGCTGGTGAGAGTTCGGATTGAGCTCGCAGGTGGGTGGTGCGAATGGTGCAATTGATAAGGTTGTGTGGGCAGCAGCGGTTGTGACGATGGTTATGGTGGTCGAATTGGGAGATGCATATTATGTTACTTTTTGAATTTGTGTTACTTTTTTTTTATATATTCTTGTATAATATATCTGATTTTTTGTTGGATGAAATGGTTAATTATGTGGATCAACCAATAAAATACAAATATCAGTCAATAAAAGGAACATATCAGTCAATTGATGTCTGATATCAGTCAATTCAACTTTAGGAACTTATCAGACATTAATAAAAAAGTATCAGTTAATAAAAGGAAACTATCAGCCAACAAATGAAATATATCAGTCATCAAAAGGAACATTTTAGCCAACAAAAGATACATATCAGCCAATAGAAGGAACATATCAGCCAACAAATAAAGCATATCAGCCATTAAAAGGATGAAATCAGCAAACAAAATAAACATATCAGCCAACAAAATGAAACATATAAGGCAACAAAATATACATATCAGCCAACAAAATAAAAATGTCAGCCAACTAAAGAAACATACCAGTCAACTGATGTCTGATAGCAGCCAACAAAGGAACATATCAAACATTAAAAAAACATATCAGCCAACAAAATGAATATATCATCCAACACAAAAAACATATCAGCCAACAAATGAAACATATATATCAGCCAACAAATAAAACATATTAGCCAAGCCTGTCGCACGTAATTATGCGTACGACAATCCGCACCAGGGTTCAAAAATGCAGCCGCACCATCACGTATCAGGCGAGTTGTAGCGGTTTTCAATTTACCGAACCAAGATTTAGCGGTTTGATGCGGGTTATTAAAATCGCTTGAATTTGCAAAATTTTCTTTGACTCCTTTGAAAACCAGAGAGTGACAAGAAAAGAGGGGGAAGAGAGAGAAAGAGGCAAGAAGAGGAACTGAGTGCTATTTGAGTGGGGCTGACAGAAAGGTGGAGGGTAGGGAAATGGGTATAGGACAGGTGTCATTTTCAATACCACTTATTTTGCTTTTGACCTTTTGACTACTAACTTTAACCAAAATTGTCTTTACTCTTTTATGTGTTACCGTTGTTACCCAATATTTATAGTAGTAAACAATTAATTTTAGAGGAATTGTGCCAATAATTGATAATAATTAAAATAATACTAGAATAATTATAATAAAAAAAATATAATTTTTATTAGAAGAGAGTGATATTAAATTTAATTTTTAAAATTTATTATGAGTAATAATATTAATAAACATATAAAATTATAAAACTAAAATTCAGTGACCACATCCGCGATATCGCATCAATTTCGTTCCACGATATATATGTTACCATTATCGCAATCGCGACAGAAACCGTGCCCAAAACCGTGTTTTCGAACCATGTTCTACACACAATACCTTCTCTTTAGGCATTATGTTTTCTTAATCCAATCAACAAACTCAAAATAACTAACTTCCTTAATATTAGGATGTAGGTAGGGACACCTCATAGTAATCGGTACACCCTTTCTCATATGTGATTTTCCTATTCTTTATCGCAAATTGCCCACCATAATACAACCTAATGTTTATCGACTCCATCAATATAATCCAAGTGTAGTCAATATAATCTCTACCATTAAACCTGAGGAATGAAATTAAAACAAAACAAAGAGTAGCTTAATTTAGGTCAATTTACCATACTTTGAATTATTTTTTTACAGATTTAAAAATTAGGGTTTCACCGCAACTACATTAACACTACATAAAACAATTGACTATTAGCTTCAATTAATTATCCTAATCTACATTATTTAATCATCATCAAAAGCATAATCAAAATAATTATTTTATTAATACTTTACATGCACTAACCCAAAAGAACTAATTTTATTTCCCAACTGTAAGCAAAATTTCATCCAAAAGCATTTAAGAAGTACCTGGTCCCCTCTTCTTCCTTCTTCTCGATGAACCACATTTCTTCTATTTAGCCATGGAAGAATGATGCAATAAAAAAAAAGGAAAATTTGTCAAGAATAAGCCAACCTTTAGCCGGTCTTCTCAAAATAAGTCAAGCTTTCGATTAACTCAAAATAAGTCGACTTTTATGGGATATCTTCTAAAAATGAGTCATAACCTGTTGAGTTAAGAGGTAACCTGTTATTTAGGTAAATAATGCCACGTGTCATAATGTGGTTGGTCCTTTTTCAAATTTTTATTTTTAAATTATCATTATTTTAATTAATCATAAATTTTTTTTTTCAATTTAACAAAAAAAAAGGAAAAATAGTTTTGAAAAATTCCTTTATCTGTCCACCTACTTCACCAAACCATAATTAATTACCTCTCACCGTCCCATGTTGTCGCTTCACCCACCTCTGCCCACTTCTCCACTAACCCATCAATGGCCCACCAATCCTTTCCTTGCTTCGTATAAAAATATCATTTTATATCTCCTCCTTAACAAAAGCCCTGATTTCACTCTTCTCCAAAACTCTCTTCACAAACTCCAGAATTCCCACCCTATTCTCCGCACTAAACTCCATTTCGACGCTTCAACTTTCACTTTCTCTCTCCTCATCCCTTCTTCAACACAATAGCAACCAATTCAATTATCAAATAGAGAAGAAGTGGTGGTTGCTGTGATAGCTAGTAACTGTGGTGGGGGAGTGAGAAATCAGAGGGTTTCTTTTTTAAGGGTGGTGATTGAGGCTATTGTTGGTTGCTGGCGTGGGTCTGGTTGGTGCCTTGGTGGGTGGATTTTTTTTAAGGGAAGGTGGGAATGGAAAAAAGAAAACAAAAATTGTCTATTGATATTTTGGTAGCAGGTAACCAGTAAAAAAAAAAAAAAAAAAAAAAAAAAAACTCATCTAAAGTTAGAGACTAGCAAAAGTCGACTTATTTTGAGTTAATTGTAAAGCTTGACTTATTTTGAGGAAAGTGACTAAGGGGTTGGCTTATTTAACTTCAACGAAAAAGGAATTGATGCTTACTGTGCGGGTAGTTAACAATTTATGAATGCTTACTGTGCTGGTAGTTAACGATTTATGAGCAAATTGAAGTAGCTAGTATTAATGAGGGAGCACGAATTGATGAATTTGCTGAGATTAATGGTGTAGCAGGGAAGAGAGAGAAACTACGAAGTGTAAAAAAGAGGGTTGGCTTTTTATGTGGAAAAAATTGGAGGGAAAAGGGGTGTGCTTAGGAAAATAAGGAGTCACGTGCCAGGCACAAAGGGTTCAACGCAGAAAAAGGGTGAGTCAACGCGTAGAAGTAAAGTTTGGTTGTTTATAACAAAATTTCATTAAGATTTGACTTTGTCAATTTTGAAAGATGTTTCTAACAAAAGGTTTATTTTAAAAAGGTGTATTCGCCAAATTTTCCCAATAAAAAAACATGTTCATTTTTATACCACTAGATAAACCATTACTCCCTTTGTTTCACAATGTTAATCCAATTTATAATTTTTGAGTATTAAAAATGAGAGGAAATCTTCTAAATTTCTCTTTATATACAAGACAAACATAGTCATATAAGATCTAATTTTATTCGTCTTGGCGAGTAAATTATTACTCCCTCCGTCCCATAATACTTGGGGCGTTGGGGTGGACACATAGTTTAAGAAAACTACAAGTGAGTCCATTTAAAATATTTGTTTATCGTATAAAAGATTCTCTTTTGCATTTTTATATTGTAAGAAAACAACAAAGTGGGGTAAGAGTGAGGTAGGTGAGGAGAGAGAAGAGAAAATGTGGGAAAATATTTTTTTATTAGTGGTCTCATTCCATTTTTGGTAACGTGTCAAGTATTGTGGGACGGACGAAAATGCAAACTGTGTCAAGTATTATGGGACAGAGGGAGTAATATCTAATTTTATATTTTCTTGCTAGTGTAAGATTAAAGAGGGGAGGTCTACTGTGTCATTTTTCAAAAAAAGACACCATAACATGATGATGTGTTGTTTCGGGGTTTTCTGACGTCCTGCGGGAGAGTTACAATTTTGAGACTGGAACTGGACGCATGTACCTGCAAAACAAACGGAGACTCCGGGTGGTAGGAGCTCCGCCTTCGACGGTCAAATTAGTATTTGCTTAAGGAGTAATTAATGCGGAAAGGTAA